GTCAACGCGTTTGGCGTCTCGTATCCCATGACGCTCCTTCGCATTGATGGCGGCTTTCGCATCCTTCGGTCAACGTCCAACAAAATGTACTGGTCGCTCGCCAACGACTTTGGCTCGATCACGACCAATGCCAGTCGCATCGGCGGAGGGAGCCTCCTTCGCAACAGCGCGCGTTTTGCTTTCCAGAATACGACGCTGCAAGTCGTGCTCACAGACTCCAAGGTCCTCAACGCACCGCTCAGTGCGGGCTTGTCGCTGATCACGCACGAGCTCGGGCCCTTTGGTGTCATTGACACGGTCTATATGCCCGTCCCGACGCTCGTGAGCGCGCTGGTCCGGGCGATTCTGCGTGCTACGCGGTCGGTCATCGCAGCCAATTCGACCGCGCAAGCCGACTTTCTAAAGATTGCGACTCTCAGTGCGTCGTACCCGATTCCGCGCATTTGGGGTGGCCCCAACTATGCGTCGTTTGGTGGCTCACCGCTCTGCGCCGAGTATTCCAACGGCCAACCGGTTGGCACCGCAGGCTTTTCGAGTCTTCCATCATTTGACTTTCCATGCTCGTCGTCGTCGTCGGCCATCGCCCGCATCATCCCGACACGCCAGCACTATCTCACTTCTGCCGTGCTATCGGGGTTAGGGTTCAAAACCGCTTCGCAAATCGACGTGCCACGGACCTGTGTGTACGACGCCAACAACAAGGCGGCGTGTGCCGCTTACGTCACCAAAACCCTCGTATTTGTGACGACGTACTTGACGGGTTTCGATGCGTCGACCATCGCATCCGTGCACGCGGCGCTTCTTACCCTCGACATTCGGTTTATGCTCTACGCGCGGCTCAACACCACGTCGCCCCTGACGCTGCTGCATACGCCGGTGCTGGACCTGCAAGACGCCAACTTTTGGTTTTTTGGCTACATGTACCTCTACGACTGGGTGCTCGGGTATCGCGAAGTCGTCTCGTTTCAGGGCGATGTCGGAACGCTCACGTTGCTCTCGGACCTCCAGCCGGCGTTGCTCCAGCAAGTACCGACGGACCTTGTTACGACCAACGCCGCTGTCTACTGCCGTCTCGCCGTCTCGTACGTCTCGTGCGTCATGCTTCTTGTTGCGACGCTTGCAACCGGCTACCTCGTCCGCTCGAGAAACCACGTCGAGGGCTTAAACATGTTTGAGCTCTGCCGTGTGGGTGGTATTGTTTGGGTGGGACGACCGCTCTTGCTGCTTCGGAGTCTCACGGCAGTCGCGCTTCTGTCGACAGTGTCGATCGATCTCGTCCGCGTCGGCTCGGTCTCGATGTTTTATACGGTGGCCACGCCATGGCACAAGGTCGCTTTGGCCGCGACCGAAGTCACGTGGCTTTCGGCCATTGTGACGGACCTTGGATTGGTGGCGACGCAGACGTATGCGAGCTACTACGTCACACTCAATTCGGCGCTGGTGTGGGTCTCGGTGGCGACGCTAACGCTTTTCTCGCCCGTCACGGCGCAAATGACGTTGGCGCGGCAGTGTGCCCTGGTTGATGTCGACTTTGACGTGCGCTGCGACAGCGGGTCCTTGGGCATCGGGTCGTTCCCGCGCTTCTTGCAGCTCGTTTTGCTTGTCGTGGCGTGGAACGTGCTGAGCTTTCTGGCCGTGCGGCGATTGGTCGGGCCGCCGCCGGCTCTGGGCGTCCGCTCGCACCTCTTGTCGGCCAATGCGAGGTACCTGTACAACCACTCGTTGCGAACGCACGGCGACGTCTACTACTTGGACCGTGCGTCGGCGGCCATCGATGGCATCCTCACGCTCCGGCGACGTGATTCGGTCGTCGCACTCGACCTCAAGCTCTGGCGCTGCTTCATAACGCATATCGCAACAACAACGCACGCTCAGAAAGGAGGTCCTCGCGCCGACTTGACCGATGCGTACCCTATCATGTACTAAGACTATGCGTTATCTCCATGCACCAGAGACTTTGCGCAGTCGACTCGAGCAGTCCAATGCCCCATCAATCAAATGGCGCCTCCCGGACTCGAACCCGGTTTTATCTATTGATCCACCAGCGTCTGATCCGCTAGACTATCTAAAGTCGGCAAGAACTAGCCCTTCTTGACTCGATCAAATGGCTTGTGTCAACGCTACCAAACGCCATACATCGAGTACGCACTTGCCGATCAACAGCGCAAGGTGTGTGCAGCGACTCGTTGGGTTTGTTGGGGCGTCACGGAGGGCTAGGGTTGACAGAGGGCTAGGGTTGGCGTAGGGCTAGGGTAAACACACTTGACGCACAGACAATATGCGCGTTAATACAAGACCGAGACGACATGAGAGACGAACGCCATGAAAAATGTAAGGGCGTGTAGCGAGACCGGCGCGTCGGCGTGGCTGGTCGTCGCACCCGGCTTGACAATGGTCGAAGCGTTGGACGGCAGTTGGGCGGTCGCGTTCGCATGCGACGCCTGGAGGTGGTAGAGGTGCACGACGCTTGTCGACGACGGCGCGTCGAACGATGTGTTGGACTGCAGGTAGTTGCCCGTCTTGAAGTAGCACAGTGCGTGCGTCGACGTCTCGTTCCGGCAGTTGCAATCGACTTTGTCTCGGAAAGGCGCCGCGATCGCCGGTGTCATCATGTCCTTGTAGTAAATAAGGACGCGGCCTTGGTGCAGCTGGAGCTTCAAGCTGAAGCGACGGCCGAGCGCGTAGTTTGCGTCGAGGACACCGAGGAGCTGGTGCGGCGGCGGGTAAAACTGGTTGACGACCACGATCTCGAACCCGCTGTTCGAGGCTGCTTGCACTTTGATCATGAGACACGCCTTCTCGCCCTTGACCTGCGCAACGACGGTTTGTGCGTGCTGCGGCGGCAGCGAGGCCACGTCCAGCGTCACCGCAAGCTCGTGCACCGACGCGCCTTGCGTCGGGTCCCAGTTGCGCAGCCACGAAGCATTCCGAGCATTCGGCTTGACTTCACGTAGCTCGACGCGAGGGTACTTGGCGTTGTATGTGTGGGCACCGTCGACGGGCGTCGTGAGCGCAACGCCGTCGCCCTCGACGGTGAACGCGGGAGACACGTACGTGTCGAGCGCAGGATGGTACAGGCGCAGCGCCTCTGTCGCGTTCGGGGTCGCCTCGGGAAGGTCGAGCGCCCAGCGGGTAAGGTTCAATACAGTTGCTGGGAGCGGCGCAGCCAGCGCCGACACCACGGCCGCAAGTACGAGCCCTCCTCTCCACATGCACGATTGACACTGACGGCCGCATTAGAAAGGACGGATTCTTCGAGCCAGATGATAACGTCGCTGGAAAAGCGCACCTATACGGGTGCACCTTTTCTAGAAAGGGCGCCCATCGAAGTGCTTTAAGGTGGCGTCTTGCCGAGTGCGAAGAGCGAGCTCCCGCGATCAAAGCCCTGGTACCCTTTCGTATGTTCGTGTTGCTTTGTGTCAAGGTCTCGGCGGTGTAGCTGCCATGCGATAATCGATGCGGACCCGCTCTATCCCCTTTGGTCGCCCGTACGTGGGACAACGTAGGTGCGTATCTTGATACATGCACCAGCGTAGGTGCTCATTTAAATATCAGGTCTTCTTGAAGTGCAATATGAAATGCCAGCAGAATCCTCGTTGGAGAGAAGTTAATTGTTGGTTGTAGTCCTTGCCTCCATAAAGAGAAGGCTATTCACTGCCAAACTACGCAGTACTGTGAGTTCTCACACCGGTAGGAGGCGAATGACGTTGCGCCGTTGCCACCGGCCACTTCGAACGCGATGGTGAACTCTGGGAGAACTTCCGGGGTTCAACGTGTCGTTTCTGGAGCTCTGAACCCACACTAGACCAGCTCACTAGACCGTCCTACCATTCGCTTCGCCAGTGAGATCGCTGAACACAGGCCGCTACACGCAAGCCCACGTAGCTACTTGAGCCAACTACATACTGCAGTCGATCGGATGAGATTGAAATATTACTTGCACTGCCTCGTCCTAGAAACGCTCGGCCCTTGGAAGAGGACCCCACAGCCATATTTGACTGCCGACGTCTCCATACTATGTAGCGTGAGCTGTCGAGGCAGCTCCAGTCTCGGTCGGACCAAGTGCGGATCGTAATTCGTACCGACTCCAGTAATTCGTGGCATGAATTCGGATGAAACGGCGCCGAATTAATAATATAGCGGTTTCTCGGCCATCGATACAAATACCAAGTGATAAAATATGAAACCGCTACAGCGCCAGAACTTGAAGTTTGTATGTGCGCGTGGCTTGCGTCAAGCAGTCGGATATCCAAAAAAGATTCAAACGCCATGCTCGCGCGATGGACGTTGCCGCCGGCGACGGCCGACGACGAGAGCAACCAGACGAGCCTGGACGACCTCGACCTGAGCGCGTTCGCGAGCCTCATTAGCTTCCAAGCGCCACGCCGCACGCAGAGCAAGCTCGAGACGTGGAAGGGCCGGAAGAGCTCGACCGACAGCAACAGCAGCAGTGGCGACAACCAGCGCGACGACGCCATCTGGACGCGGTCGCCCGAAGAGCCAGCAAGTAGCCGCGACGTGGTGGTGGCGCCGACCCTGCGCGCACTTGCGCCGAGCTTTGTGCCACCTGACGCACACGTAGTGTACCCTGCCTGTCTCGTCGTCGTGCCAACGCTCACGTGGCCATGCCTAGCGCCCGCTACAAGCCTCGTACGCTACACCTACCGCGAGCTCTCATGCGTCGCCTCTGAGCTACGCAGCGTCGTACTACGATCATGATTTGTCCGCGCACGCCTACGCCATGCCGCCAGCGCAAAGCGTCGTATACTTTGAGGTCGAGTTCAAGCGCGGTCGGCGCAGCATTTTTGTGGGCTACGCGCACTTTGCACTTGGCGATTTCGTCAAGGTACGTGCAAGCAAATCTGTCGTATTGGCGACGCCCAAGTAGGTCGAGGCCGACCGCGGCTACGACGTTGGTGTTATCGTCTGCGCCGGCGCGACCCTCGACCACTTGTGGGCCAACCAGGCGTACATGCAAAGCACGTCTCTTTTGGAGCCGCAGCGTCTCTCGGTGCCACCGAAGCGGATTCTTCGAGGCGTCGTGGCCGCCGAGCTCGAGCAGCTTTCGCTCAAGGTAGCGTTCTATAGCCTTCTACGCTCATGACACCGCTTGCGCTACTAGCTGGAAGAGGAAGCTCTCGTGCTCGAGGTGTGCCGGGCCAAGGTGCGCCAGCGCTTTTTGCCCATGGTCGTCCTCGACGCAGAATTCCAGTTTGACCGGCACAAACTCACTTTCTTCTTTCAAGCCCAACGGTACTTCTATGGTGTTGGCCAATATTGTCTTATGGTTTGTAGACGCATCGACTTTCGCGAGCTCGTGCGCGACCTCTTTGGCCTGTACAAGACGCGCATCTGGCTCCAGCAAGTGAGCTAAGTGACGACCGCCTTGTGTGTTTCTCATAGACTGTGCCATACCAAATATTCCATTTACAACTAGAATCTACTGTCGTGTGACCCGGTGTACGCTACGCAACGAGCTCGAGCAGCGTAGCGGTGGCTGTTCGCCGGCGCACCCACCCAGCGTCCTGCACACCCGGGGCATCACGAATCTTGAGCCAATCGCCTGCCTTCAGCACTGTCTCGATGCGGTCCTAGCTGGTCCATCAGTGGTCGCGCCACCCAGGCGCAGGCGTACCCCCTTGCGTCGAGTGCCCAGCGCTTCGCACTTGGTGGTAGGCGCTGCGCGCACCGTGAGGCCGCCTTCCCACACCACAACGTACGACCGCATGTGCGCGAGGGCCCCTACGACTGGTGTCATTGTGTTGCTGCATCGATGCGACCTACGGGGGGCTTGGGTAGCGGGCTGCAGATACTGCTGTGAGATGCGGTCGGACCAGCGCTGCCAGAGGTCCGAGATCGTCTCTGGCTCGTCGCGTAAGAGCGATTGCATCTGACACTGCGTTTCGGTCAAGATCGTGCTAAAGTCCATGCACGTTGCGCCTACATGACAATAGTGTGCATCAACATTTTGCGATAGTTCAATCAACGTTTTGCGTACCCGACCGTGTCCAGTTGCGATCAAAGAGCAGCAGACTCATGCCAAACAGCCGCTCGAACGCCTTGGCGTCGTCAAACAGCCTAGTCCACTTGGTCTGCAACCCATTTCGAATCGCTATTGATCGTACGGCCAGAGACCGCGCGTGACAAGCGCGACACCGGCGTGTGTCGGTAGCGGCATCAACGGTTCGTCGCAGACGCCGTCGCAGCGCGCAAGCCACGCTCTCGTGTCCAGGTCCACCTAGGACTCCTGCCGTTAGCATGGCTACAAGTGCCGACAGAGTCGTACGACGTCGGTCGCACTCGGTGTCCGGTCGAAGCCCAAGAGCTCGACCAACATCCGTACAAGGTAGACGCTAGCACTGCGCACGGGGTAGTGCTTGGCGTCGACGTCACACGACGCCCGCTGCGCAATGATCTGCTGCGCAATTTCCTGGTGCTCGGCCAGAAAGTGCAGCATGCACTGGAGCACGAGGCGGCCGCCGCCACGGAGTGACGCACGCAGCGTGTCGTCGCTCTCGCATGCGAGACCGTACGCCTCTCGAAACTGCGTCCATGCTAGCGATGTAGTCTACACCGATATGTCCTCTATTGTTCGGTTTCGAGAAGGGGTAGGGTACCGGAACCTCGAGTCGTCGCTCCCGCGGGATAGCTGCGACACGCTCGAGCTTGGCCATGACGTACTACATGTACCGTCAGCCAAAGAATAGAAGAGGCAGGAGGCGACAGACATGGCAGCGGTCGGAGAGCGCGCCGCGTATCTCGGCCAAAATGGCGTCGGCGTTGAGAAAGAGGAGAGCGACAAGCTGGGTTAGCGAAGCCTACACCAGCGTCATGCGTACAAGCTCTGCATTAAACAGCGAGTCTACCTCGTCGGCAGCCGGTGCGGACCGCGGGAATAAGACGCGGACAAAGACGTCGGCGAGGCGGTCGACGCTCGTGTCGTTTGAGAGCTTCAAGACGCGGCTGATCGTCGCGCAGAGCCGGTATAGAAGCGGTTTGACGCTCCAGTGCAACTCGCCGACAAGCTGTGTGAGGGCGAGGACCTGCACATGCCGCCCTTTCAAGTCGTGAATGCTAATCTATATATGAGTCTATCAAGCACAAGGCGACGTGCGTACCGACGGAACCGGCCGTAGAGCGACGCGGGAATGATCGGGTCGGGCAAGTCCCTCAAAAACTACCACCGTTTTGAGTTGGCGCATCGAAGAGGAAGAAATACCTTGATGAGGAGGATGATACCGTGGTGCACGCTGCTCCAAATACTCAAGCAGCCCACCGCTTGGACCTGCTGCGTGAGCTGCGCAAAGCGCGAGGCGTTGATCTTGGCGGCAAACAGCCCCGGGGTGCCGACGGCCGTGGCCGCGTCAATCAAGCGGCAACAGCCTTCAAAGAGATTCGGCACACCAAGGAGCGGGTCCACCGGTGCGATGGCACATGTCCGGGCGTCCAGGAGCAGCGACGCAAGAGGAACACCAAAGAGTTTGGGTGTCTCGTTGGCGGGGCCGACTTCGTCCAGCGCGCGGGGACTCAAGATCGAAGGCAGCGTATGCCGTAGCAGCTCGTGCAGTCGTTGCGCCTTGGTGTCGAGGACTTGCAAGACGTTGTGGTTGGTAGGCGCTGCGACCGAAGGCACCGACGGTGGTAGCACCTTGGTTTCCTCGGTCGGTCCATTCTACGCGCATAATGATCAGAGAGGTGGTGCGGTGGCAGCGCCTACATCCAGCGCAAAGCCAAACGTGAGTCGATCTAATGTCGATGTGAGCCCGACAAAGATCTCGCGTGCGTCTTCGTTGAGGCAGAGCGCAGATGGCTCAAAGTACGTCTGCAGCGTCGCCTGGTTGAGCGGATGCATGAGCCCTAGGCCGGATTCGAAAACAATGCAAAAACGAAGAGAGCGAGGTACCTGCCAAACACGCGCTGAGGATATGCGTGTTGCAGCACTGGCGGATCCAGGCGCGCACACGCCCGATCGGTGTCGTCACATGCAAGAGCGAGTTCGCGGTGCGGATCGACGCGTTCAAGCCCGGTGTCATTGGGCTTTCGGACACGCTGGGCTCAAGCCGCTGGTTATCATCGGCCAGTGATGTGATGCCTTGGAGCTCGTCTTTGAACATGTCGTTGTACCTGCGCATGATAGATCGGGTCCCGCCGACTCACAGACGCGGGCAACGTACCAGTCGTCGTCTGCCACCACAGTCGGCAACTTGGCGTGGGCGGCAAGCCACGCACGGTGCCGCTTTTGCTGGGCGACGTTGGTCCACTGGACGAGCCCCCAGAGCGAGACCGTCTCGGTGGCCGACACGCGCTTGAGGCCATGGTGCAAGCACGCTTCGATGGCCGCGCAGACGTCGCCGGCGCAGGCGTCCGGCGCATGGCTGCTGCAGTTGTTGTTGTCGCTCTCGTGGGCGTCGACTTGACGCAGTAGCGCGTGTACCGAGGTGCGCAGCGCTTCGAGCGCCGGGAACTGCTGCATGACGAAAAGATACCGCCAGTGCTGGAAAAGACACCAAATGGCAAACTGCAAAGTGCATACGTGCGCTGCGATTGGCTAGAAACATTGCGTTTACGCCAATCAGATCGTTTGTTCGAGCACAGAACTTCGATGCAGAAAGGACGACCCAAGATGCTGGTCGCCAAGGTCGATCGATGCTATCATCGCATGTAGAATACCAACACGTAGGGTAGTAGCAGCTACGCTACGCTGCCGAGTCGGCTGCGGCGATGCGGTCGGCACTCTTGCCCTGCCTTGGTATGGTGTCGGTGGTCGCTGCCGGCAAAGTTGCAGTGTTGTCGGCCGAGTCGCGCGAGTGATTTGATCTTGTAAAGATGGACATGGTACACAGCTGGCCACCTTTGTCCAGTCGGTCGATTCCTGCACACAGGAGGGCACACGTAGTCCGCCGCTGCAATCATATTCTACTGACAACACCAGGAGCTCCCGGCTGGTTCTAAGCTTATGTTTCGTGGGTTCCGGTGCAATTTTGGCGGGAAAATTGGGTCGCCCGCAAGTTGAAGTTGGTGGCACGCGTTGGCTGATGTTGCCCAGCGCTCGTCGTTGCTTCCTTCGAGTCTCCTTCCATAACTTTGATGGGATCGAAATATGAAGATGACAAACGCCTCAACACAAGGCAATATAGGTTTCTTAAATACAAAGCTTCATGCTGCAAGCAAGGTCAGCGACAACCCCGCCACGTCGTTTTGGCCATGTGCTCGCCCAGCTTTTGCGCTTTGGCTTTCTCGTCGTTGGACGCATTGGGTCCTGGTTGAACGAGTGGGGAGACCGACAAGATGGCAGCGGTTGTCACGGCTATCGGGCCGAGCGTGTGCAACAGGCACTGCGCGGCCGTGGACAAGAGTGGCATGGTTGCGAGAGAAGTCCGATGGAATTGTGACGAAAAAGTCTGGAGCACTGTGATGTGGTTACATCTGGTCGGCCGCGGCATCCTTGGCCTTGACACGAGTAGGACCGCCTTGCTTATGATAGTAGAGTACAGCACATCCCGCCACATCCACGACCAAGCGAGAAGCTAAGGGAGCGTACACGGAATGCAATCGCATGATTGCACGATTGTCGTGTCTGGTTCGACAACGACGGTCGCCCGATTTCTCAAAACCACCAAATTCGACGAAAATGAACGCGTGTTTCTGGCCACAAGCAAATCTGCCACGCGTATATTCTTGAATCGCCACCTTGTTCCCGGCCCTTGTTCCTAGATCGCGCGACGCCATTTATTTGAGCACATGGGCACGCCACGTGCGATGCGCGCTCAGATTGGTGCGCAGTTTCCGACCACCTGACGTAGCCACGTCATTGAAATTTCGTCGGCCCGTCGGCCAATCCAACGCGACCTTGCCCGTGCAAAGCCGCGTCGCCGATGTGGCCACACGCGACAGGCGGTGATGCCACCTCCTTGGCCACGCATGATTGGCTGAGAGGTTTCTTCGATTCGCCAATCGTATGCTTTGAACCTATCGACTGCGCCACATCACAGGTGCGATCTTGAGACTCGCCGTTGGTTCATTTTCAATCGTTCGCACTGCCAAACAAACCACTACAATAATGCCTCTGACAACGGCCGCCCAATGCCTCCTCCACACGGTCTGCCCCAGCGTCGTCACCTCGCTTGTCATCGCCGGCGTCTCCAACAGCTTGCACCCGGCGTCGGACAAGCCACACTCCAAGGCCACGCAAGCGCACCTGCGCGAGCACATGGCCCACACAACGTGGCGCGGGTGCCGCTAAATGCTCTTCCACGCACGTTTCCGCGTATCCTTAATCTATTCTATTGTATATAAACAAGAAATCACGTTCCAACGTCGACTTCACGGAGATGCGTAAGTTGATGCCCTTGGCATCACCACGCCGCGCCACGTATACATTCATACACTGTATTGAGCCAGGCAGTGTCTCCTTCCGCACTTGTACTGTCTGGCAAAGGTGGCTGGCCAGCTTGACCATCCGTGCAGGTGAGCTCAAACGGCTTACCTTGTAGTATTTCGTCGCTTGCCACCCCAAGCATAAACAGCCATCAAGAGCCCGGCACGTCTGGATGGACTGATGATGGATCGATCTTTGGACACGCGTGCGGTGACGCAGGAGCGCCACGTACAAATCATGCGGTACTCGCCAATTTGATTGTACTAACTAGACTTTCTACTCGCTGCCGTGTTGGTGGCGCGTGAGGTTTGCCCTTGACGCGCTCGTGTAGAATCCGAGGTCCGCGCCTTGAAGTACCCCACGCACCTGCGGCATCTTCAAGGCCAAATATCGAACCGACCAGGCGACGGACGAGTACCCATCGTCGGTCGTGCCCCGAGCCGCAATAACTTTCCCGCGGCCGTGACTAATGGTTGCATTACAATTCACACCACTTGACATTTGTATCCACAACATTCATTTTATTCTTTAAAATACGAGCGCCAACAGCTTCAGGGGATAATAACCCTTCAGGGTACTCGCCATTTTCCAACTCGCCAACTTCCCAGCACGATGCCGCTGCAGCCTGCCGCCCAGTGCCACTTGCACACGGTCTGCCCCACCGCGCTCACGTCTCTCGTCGTAAATACGGTCGCCGCTGCCGTCCACGCACCGGGCGACAATAACAATACCAACACCAACCACAGCGCGGAGGACGCTGCCAAGCGCGCGCAAGCGCTCAAGGAACACACGCACCACACCACGTGGCGGGGCTGCCGGTAGCCAACAGTGCTACAACTAGCAGTGCCCGACGATCGAGGCGGTTTTGCTAATTTATTTGATTTTTCTGTGGATTTTTGCCCTTGCACGTTGTCGTTAGCTTAGGTTCGTGCTAGGGACAAATTGGTCTCGGTCTTTTGCGCATAGCTGACAGCTACGGCACACACGAATGCGTTGGTGAACTTGGGCGTCGGTCGGACGAGATTCCGTGGTCAGATCTTAGCGCCAAGTTGAAGCTGGCCACGGCTTCGCGTATCTGGTTCGGATCGTTGACGTTGCAGATGGACGCACCCAATTCTACGGGCGCGGCCTTGTGCTCCTCGCATGGCCACACGCAGTTGGCCATAGAAGCGCCCATGTCTTCTTAGCTGAGTCCTCTTCGACCACAAGCCACTTTGCCTTTTCCTGCTTGAACGTTTTCAACATTATGCCCTTGTCCGCCGTCGCGCAGTGCGTCCTCCATACAGTCTGTCCGAGCGTCCTCGCCACGATGGTCGTCGCCGGCGTCTCGCACACGCTGCAGCACCACGCGATTCATGACCCGGAGCTCCGCCACGAGCACGCCAAGGAACACATGCTGCACACGACTTGGCGCGGCTGCCGCTGAGTACCGATCCTCGCTCCAGCTCGCTTATCTATTGTTATTTGAATCTCCTTGTCGCTGTCCAAAGCACCCTTCATTCCTGTATGTCGAGCCGTAGCACTAGACGTGTGGAGCCCAAGGACGGACGCAGCGTCGAAAAGGTCTCTTGTTGATGCCACCACGAGCGTGCGAGGTTGGATTCCGTCGTTGGCTTAAGCCGAAATCGTGGCGACCGTCCCTATCATACCGGTACTTGGGCAAGACTCGAATTGGACTCCGTCTCTCAAATGCACTGGACGAGCTTAGGGTTGCCGCTTTCGGCTAAAGCAAAAGTCTCTCGGAGTGTGGTAAAGCCGCCCTTGTCCACGTCCACACGGTCGGTGTCGCCATGTACTGTACGAAATGCAGTGTATTTTTCTTTGAGCAGTTGCAAGGAGCTTTGGATTTGCAGAGGCGATGGGCGCATGAGGCAGATAGCAGCCAAGACGTTCGGATGCCTGACGATCGCAACTGGCCATAAAAATGCAACGCGCGGGCTATCCGGTTGCTGGACACGCCATCGTATAGGGCTAGACGCACGCCACTTTGCATGCCTCCAGCACCCAGCCTCGACAGCACGCCGCAAACGCGACACCCAAGCACGACCTGTGTGACCTGCGCGTCTGTGCACAACGTTACTGCGGTAATGGCCATCATCGGCGCGTGTGGTCGTGTAGGCTGTCGACTGCGACGGTGCAATTTATGCGAGATTACAACGTGCTGTCTCCATGTACTAATTCGCTCCACTTTCAGTCGATTGCTATACCGTCCTCGTCTATGCGTCGCCCACGACATGTTCAACGCCCGGCCTCAGTCAAGGCAGGATGAGAACCCTTCACTTTATACCCCTTGGCCTTGGTCATTCTGCGGCACCGTGCTGATACTGATACAACTCGCTTCAACTGCATTGTACAATGCACGACGCGGCGCCCTGCGTTACGAAGCGATTGCACTGCTACGTGTCCTTCTCGGTCTTCGTCTTGACGGCCACGTAGCAGCACCGCCTTCTGCGCTGCGTGGCATGGTCGGTCGCCGCTCCTCCTCTTCGTGGCAAGTTGCGTGCGTTTAGCTGGCGGTGGCGACACCCCTCGTCCTCTTTTCTGATTGGCGGACGACATATCTTGGTATCCGGATCATGACGCAGAGGCATGTCGCCCGCGAATGACTTTGCATATTTCACCGGCGCAGTAACAACTCGATGGCGCCCGGAGTGCTGGACGTCAGCAGCGCGATGGCGTGGATCGAGCGCGAGACGAGCGAGGCGCCGACGCCAGAGGCCGTCGACAACCTCTGCTTGTACCTCCGCGACGGCCGCGTGCTCTGCCTTCTCGCCAACGCCCTCGCCAACACGTCTGTCATCAAGGTCCGGCCGCTCGAGAAGCACCGCACGTTCCACGCGCTCGAGAGCATCTCGCTCTTTCTGCGCTGGGCACGCGACGACGCGCGCGTCAACGAGCTCTTTACGTCGGCGCAGCTCCTCGACGAGAAGGACCAAGCCGCGGTCCTCAAGACGCTCAGCGTCCTGTACCACAAGTACCGCAACGGCGCCGAGATCCCAATCCCGTCGCCGCGCGCGCGCCGTGAACCCGAGAAGGCGGCGAGCCGCGTCTCCAAGCTCACCTCCATGTTTGGCAAGAAAACGTCATCGTCCTCCAATGACGACGAAGATCGCAAGTCGTCGCTGAGCGGTGGCGCCAAGCGCGGGAGCCGTCTCTCGTCTTTTCTGAGTGCGATTTCGCACAAGGCGCCCGCGACACCTGCCAAGGACGTGCGGACGTCTGTGGTCTCGGACCCGTCGCCGGCGCAGACGCCACTTGACGACAACCGCCCGAGCACGACACCCGAGAGCAGCGCCAGCGCAACGCCTACCGTGGCCTCGCCGCCGGTCGCCGAGACCGTCGCACCGGTGGTCGCCGAGACTGTTGCGCCAGTAGTGGAAGTAGCGCCGCAGCCGGCGCCCAAGCCCGTGAACCGCCTCTCGTCCTTTCTGAGCCAGACGCCGCCGCCGGCGCCGCATGAGATCACGCCGCTGCGTGCGCCGCAGGAGCCCACCGATACAATTGAAGAGGCGATCGCTATGTCGGGTTTCACTGAGAAGGTTCAGCTTCGCTCGACGACGTCCCCCAAGCCCGAGCCGGAGGCCCTCGAACCGGTGTCGCCATTCCACCGCAAGCTGCGCACGACGGGCAAGCTCGCCGCGTACCTCACGGCGACGCACGGCCCAACGCCGACGACCGAGACGACCGAGGTGGTGACCGAGACGCCTGCGCCGGTCGAAGAGCCGACGGCGGCCGTCGTCGACGCGCCGACTGACATCCCCGTCGAGGTAGAAGTGGCGCCCGAGGTGCCCGTGGTGGCAGCTCCTGCCCCGGCTTCGACCAACAAGTTGGCGGCCTTCCTCTCGAGCGGCCCGCCGCCGGTGAGCAAGTTGGCGAGCTTTACGCAGTCTGTGTCGGCCACCAAGGACGACGTCCCCGAAGTTGCTCGCTCGATTCCGTCGCCCGTTGTCGACGCCCCGACGACGGTCGTCGAGGCTGCCGTAGCCGCTGTCGAGGTTACCGTCGAGCCCGTGGTTGAGGTCGTTGCGGCACCCGTTGTGGAAGAGGTCGCTGCGCCCATCGAGGCTGACGTGCCTGTCCCCGCTGTGGAAGAAGTTGCGACGTCCTCGGCTCCGGTCGTTGCTGATGCCGTTGCCGAGTCTGTGGTCGACGTCGTGGCTACACCCGTCGTCGCCGCCCTCAAGTCGGTCGACGAAGCTATCGCCGCCGCTGTCGCGCCCAAGATCACCGAGACGGTCGTCGAAACACCGGCGGTCTCGGAACCCGTCGAAATTGCTGCCATCGTCGTCGAAGCACCGCCTGTCGAGGAACCTGCTGTTGTCGTTGCCGACGTCGTGTCGGCGGTGGAGGAAGTCAAGGCGGCGACCATCATCATCGCCGAGCCCGCCCCCGTTGTTGCCCGTGAATTGCCGATGACGCCCGTCGTGTCCGAACCCGTGACCCCGGCCTCGTCGTCGGGGGCATCGCGCCTGTCGGCGTTCCTCTCGAAGGCTCCGACGCCCAACAAGCTCACGGCCTTCTTGCACAAGGAGCCCGTGCCTGCCCCGGTGCCGACGGTGGTCGAACCTGCTGTGTCCAGTACCCCGGTTGTCGAAGTCGTCGTCGCACCTGTCGTTGAGGAAGCTCCCGCTGTCGCTGAGGTGCCTGCAATCGCTGCATCTGTCGAGGCCGTGGCCACGGTTGTCGAAGAGCCCCTCAAGGTTGAGGATGTTCTTGTCGAAGCCGTCGAAGCCGTGCCTGCCCACGTTGACGCGCCCGAAGTCGTCGCCCCGGTCGTGGACGTCGTCGCCTCGGTCGTCGATGTCGTTGCTCCGGTGCCGGAATCTGCACCGGTGGTCCACATCGCCGAAACACCCGTTGTCCCGGTTGTCACCAAGATGACGGCACCAGTGGCTGAGGTCCCCGAGGCCCCCGAGACTGTCGCCAAGGCCCCGGTCGTTGTTGAGGAAGTTCCGGTCGTTGTCGATGAGGCCATCGTTGAGACCCCGGTGGTGGTGGAAGCGGCCCCGGTAGCTGTCGAGTCGGCCCCGGTTGAGACCCCTGTGGTCGTTGAAGAGGCTCCGGTCGTCGTTGAAGAGGCTCCGGTCGTCGTTGACGAAGCATCGGTAGTCGTCGAATCGACGCCGGTCGTACCTGAACCCAAGCCCCGATCCAACAAGCTTGCGGCGTTCCTCACAAAGGCCCCGACGCCGAGCAAGATCAGCGCTTTTTTGCACAAGTCGGAACCCGCTCCCGCCGTGTTGCCCCGCTCGGCGCCCATTGTCGCTGCCCCCAAGCCAGGTGTCGAGGAGGTCACGCCCGAGCCCGTCGCCGTTGTCGATGCGCCCGTGGTCGTTGCGACACCCGAGCCTCTCGCCGCCGTTGAAGTGCCCGTGACGGTTGTCGACACGGAACCCGAGCCGGTCGTTGCGGTTGCATCTGTCGAGGAGGCTCCGGTGGCAGTCGAAGAGGCGGTCGTTGTTGTCGAAGAGGCAGTCGCCGTTGTTGAAGCACCGGTGCTTGTCGATGCTCCGGTCGTCGTTGCTGCCGTGGAAGACATCGTCGAGGCGGTCGTCGTGCCGCCGGTTGCTGCCCAGCGCGCTATCTCGGCCGAAGCCACGCACCCCGAGGCCAACGCCCCCGAAGTCGTCGAGGCAACGACGTTGCCCGAGTCGCCCGAAGTTGAAACGAGTGTGGAGCAGCCCGAAGTAGCGTCCGAGCCCGAAGCCGAGCCGGTCGTCGACGAGCCGCACGCACCTGAATCGTGCGTCGAACTCGACTTGGCGGCGCAGGTCGCGGCGTTGACGGCTCAGCTGTCGGCGCTCCAGGCCGCCCACGACAACGTCGCCAAAGACCTCGCGCTCGCGGTCGACAACGAAGCGGCGGCCCGGTACTCGGCCCAAGTCGCATTTGCTGCTCGTGACGCGGCACTGGACGGCCCCGCGTTTGAGCGCCTCGAGGCGCCGGTGCCCGCCATTTTGGACAACCGGAGCGCGCTGACGCTAACATCGCTCACCGAGTACTCGTTCCAGTACGACGCAGTGCACGCCAAGCTCGTGCTCTTGCACAACACACACCAAGTGCTGCCGACGTGGTCGCTTACGCGCGTCAACGGCGTCGAGGTGCCCCACGCGTCGCTCGACGCGTGCCGGGGCCTCGTGAGCAGCCTCGCCGCGCCGTACGTGTGTGAGTTTCTCGCCTAGTTGAAGATGTAGCTCGTAGGATGTATAAAAGACGTAGACATAGCATGCACATATTGTCATCATAGTACTCTTGATATTTAGATGGACTCGGTCTGGTACCCCTCGAGGCTGCGTCGGAGGATAAGCGCGGCGACAAGCGCAATGACTAGAAACAGCCAGTTGACCAAACACAGAATCCCAAGCAACTCGAGGCTGCGTTGCATGTAGGACGCAACTTCGGTCGATGGCCACTCGGGGCAGTGCCCGCACGGGGCCATTTGGTTGTACAAGGGCGACGGCACCGACACCTGCGACGGCATCGGGAAGAGCACCGTCGTGAAGCGCAGACACGGCGCCGAGCTCGACGCATTGCATGCTTGCCACACGTCTAGGACGACACGTTATGAGCATGTCGACGCACATGTATTTGCAAACCCAAGGTCGGGCGACGTCGCTGGGCGCCAAGGCACATGACGTCCCCGGTGCAGTTGGAGCAGCCGTAAAGCCGGGCGGTACACGCAATGTCACCGGCGTCGTGGGTGAGCTCATACGACGTGGCGAGGTGCGACGCGGCGACAAAGGCCAAGATCGCGCTTGCGAGCAGCACCGCAAGACAGAGCACGACGCCGACCGCGTACTAACAGCATGCATCGGACTCCCTACTACTGTACGACGAGTACGTACAGCAAGAAGGAGCGACCGGCTTTTCGCCTTGGCGCCGACGAGCCCGAGCGTGGCGAGCACGAACACAGCCACGCCAATGGCTGTAAAGATGGACGCGATCCAGTCCTCGCCAGCGTCGAGCGCCTCGTGGGCCATCATGTAGAGTCCGTAGCCAAAGGTGGCTATATGCAAGATAGATATGAGAGTGACGAGGTGAAGATGGCGGCGGCTACCGAGGCCAAGGAAGACGAAGATGACGTTGATCACGGAGAGGATGTCGCGCATGACGATGGGTACGGTCACGATCTTGATGACGCAGTAGAGCGAGACAAACATGCAAGCGATCGAGGCCGCTGCGAGTCCACCGAGCGTTGTGAACCGATGGCTCAGGTATCTACATAGAGATGTCGACGCCGCGTCATATAAGGTCGACGGCGTACGTAATGGCACCGTCGTAGGTTTGGCAGCACGCGTGGCCTTCGAGCCCGAGCACCGACCAGTGCAGTCGCAGCCAGTTGGCGATTGCCGACGGCGCGGCGAGGGCCATGTACGTGAAGAGCACGAGGAGGACGCTCACGATGATCGTCGCGTAAAAGTAGACCATGAGGCACCGGATACGCTCGTGCTTGGCCGTCGAGCCGCAAAAGCCAAGCATGCTCGCGCACGAGTAGAGGCATCCGATCGTGGCGAGCGCGATGGCCGCGACGGCGAGCCTCGCGCCGCCCGGCGCCGCCGCCTGCACGAGCGCGCTGAGCGTGATGCCGTAGTAGGCGACGACGACGCCGCCCACCGTGCCGAGTAGCGTCGTGGCTTGCAGCGTCCGGCGGTAGCGTCGGAGACCCATCCTGCGGAAATCGATGTTGTGAAAGATATGGCTCGGTCGTTAGTTAGTCGATCGTAGTCGTTTCGGAGGGAGTTTATTTTAAATCGGGTGTCGATTCAGCATACAAACGTCAAGATATGTTCCGCGAAGTAGAATAAAACAATTGTTCGAATGGCATTTTAATTGTTTTCAAGAATTCGCCATAGGTTGCAAGCTTGAGTCTCCGCGAAAATAATTTTAATCTCGTCATTGTGTTTTTAATTTCCCGGGAACCCTCGCTCATTGGCCAACACAACGACTAAATGCACGCCATTATGCATGGCATAAGCGCGCGCCTGCGTGGTTTTAGGCTGTGGAGTGGTGTGGTTTTAGACTATATTTTTGCCTTGAGGAACATGAACACCACCGGCGACGTCGCCAAGGCCAAGCCGCCGATTCGCTTGCGCACCTTGTCTGCACCAAAGCCCACACCGGCGAACCATGCAGTCCTTGCAGAGCGACTTCGCAGCGCTGCGTCCCAAGCGGCTTTGGCTGCGCCGCGAGGCAAAAGAGGCATGACGACAAGCAAGGCCAGCGCCAAGCTACCATTGCAGCCTTCGCCCATGGCCAAGGCCAAGCGAGCTTCACGAGCCGAGCTTGCCGAGCTACCCAGTGACGTTTCGTCCGAAGCATCGGCTTCGTCGACCACGTCGGGCGACAGCGACGATGCCGACTACAGCGAGGACGACGAGACGGCGACGTTAGATTCCGCTCCACAGGTAACACCCCAATGCCCTCTCGATCCTCTCGCCTGTACAGCAACACTATATGCAGGTGGCAACAAGGAACCACAGCGCCGTGTGCGCGTACGAGAAGCAGCGACTTCTCAAGATGCAGCAAAACGCCGCCTACCTCGCGACGCTCGGTCTCGCCTCGACCAAGACGAGCCTTCGCGACGCCGCCAAGGTGGTGCCAGCCAAGCCGGCGCGCAAGCGACCGCCAACGGCTCCCGCGCTACCAACGCGAACGTACGCACTGCGCCGTCGCACGCTGCCGGGGGCGTCGTCCGTCAATGAGCCGTCGCCGTCGCCGCCGCCGTCGCCACAGGCCACGTACGAAGACTCGAGCGTGCACAAGTACATGTGTTCGCTAGCACCGAACGCGGCACGGCAAGGTGACGCGTCGGCATCATCGACCGCGACCCTGGTCTTTCAGACAGTGGCGGCGCACGACCGCATGGACGCACATCTCAAGAAGATTTACTCAATGGACATGAGCACACCGGGCCTTCTCGCAACCGGTGGGCACCTCGGCTTCGTGTCTGTCTACGGTGCCGACGTCGTCGCGTCCGGTGCCGCGCCGTTGCAGTCGTTCCGCGCCCACGGTGGGTGGGTGTCGAGCGTTCGGCTCTTCGCGACGGCGTCGGCCTCGCTATTGGTGACCGCGTCCAATGACTCGTACGTCAAAGTCTGGGACCTCCACCAAACGAATAGCAACGACGGGTGCCCCAAGGAGGTCACTGCCACCAACGAGTTGCACCGAAGCGGCATCTTCAGCCTCGACCTATCGCACGATAGCCAAGTCGACGCACGACTCGTCACGAGTTCCAAAGACCAATCAGTCGTGTTGAGTCGGTTGACGCCTGCGGGCATCGTTCAAACGTACGTTGAGCCATTCTGGATACCATTTTTCCTCAAAATTGCTGTTTTTTAGGGAAGCCACGTATCAAGACCATGCAGGGGTCGTCAAATGCGTCCGGCTTGCCCGTCACGACCGGAATGTCTTTGCATCTTGTGGCAACGACCGCGCCGTGTACATTCGCGATACGCGGTCGCCTGCAGCTGCGCCGCTCGCTCTCGCCGAGCTCCACACGCAGGCCGTCAACTGGTAGTACTCCGTGCGAGGACTAGAAACTGGGATCTGATACCATGATGCGAATTTAGTGTTCGGTGGCACCCACAGCGAGAAACGCAGCTCCTCACCTCGGGCTTTGACGGACAACTCTTCCTCGTCGACACGCGGCAGCCCAAGGCGCCCGTGCAGACGTTTGCCGTGCCGACGACCACGCGCCTCTTCAACCCCGAATTTGTCGCGGGCGGCTACATTGCTGTGTGCTTGGAGAAGACTCTGACATTGTACTGCACGCAGTCGGGCGCCGTCTTTAGTCGTGGCAGCATGGAGTACGACGGCGACTCGATCCTTGTAACACCGTCGCAGTCGATTCTCGTGGCCCACAAGCACATTGTGTCCCTGTACGCGTCCGATTGACTAAACCTCGACTAAACCCAGCAATGCGACCAACTGCGCGTATGTGCTTCGCTACATGCCGTCGATTCATCGATCCATCGACCGTGTCCAGTACGCAGTGTCGTCGAGGTGGTGGTTGAAATGGGTTATCTATTCCGATGGAAAAATGCTAAATAAAAATGTCGGACTTTCTTCGATGTAGCACACTCGGTGGAGGACCTTGATCTAAGCTGGCGGAGGCAGAAGCGCGATCCGCGGGCCAAAGTGCTGGCGCGGCCACTCGTGTTGGGCGACGAACCGGAGAAGCCGACGACGAGCAGGCTGCTCGGGCTCGTGAACGAGGCTGTGACGCAAGTGCATTGAGCGACACGCACCGCCTTGGCGGCAATCGCTAACTTGGCAGTGGTAGGTCGGCGCGAAAGACGCGATCGTGCCGGACTCGCTTGACGTTGAACCAGACGCAGGCGCGGAGCACTGGCCAGAGGTAGCGGAACGCGGTTCGGTGCTTGTTGGAGGCCGTCATGGGCGTCGAGCAGAGGTAGCCCGAGAGCGCTGTCGGCAAGACTACGCCCCATGGGACTGTGAGAGGTGGTTATTGTCGGTGGGAGACACGCAGCCAAAGATCGACTTGATACTTTTTATGCACACTATTTGATCGTTACTGGCGCAGAATGCGGCATTCTATTTTTGTTGTCTTGCATTTGAAATAGTGTGTCATACACCATTCAAGTGTGCAACATGATTGGTCTTTGAAAAATTCCACCAACCATTTTTCCGCTGCGGATACCGATGCAAGACGAAGGCGCCCAGGTACGCGTGGCCATGGCCTCGCCGGTCGCTCTCAGCGCACGCCACGTAGATCCGTGTCAAGTTTGTGACCAAGAACCCGGAGATCCGCGTGACGGAGACGCCGTTCGCGGTGCCCATCAAGCTCGCCCGCGCCGGCCTCTCGCAGGTCGTCAACCACCTGCTCAACACGGCCGAGCCCAAGCCGTTTGACTTCCTCATTGACGACAACTTTCTGCGCACGTCGCTTGAAAAGTACGTGGTCCAGCACAACCTGAACGACGAAGCGGTCCTCGAGCTCGAGTACGTCGAGGCGCACCTCGAGCCGGAAGCCAAGTCGAGCCAGAACCACCCGGACTGGATCAGCGCCGTGGCCACGAGCGGCGCCTTCGTCGCGACAGGCTGCTACGACGGCGTCCTCCGCGTCTTCACGCTCGCGGGCGCGCCGGTCGCCCAGGCCAAAGGTATGCAGTTTGCACTTTGCAGATAGCGCGTGCTCAGCGCATGGTCTGTAGCGCACGACAGCGTCATCAAGACGGTGGCGATGCACGGCGACCTCATTGTCACGGGCAGCAAGGACCAGACGCTCAAGACGTGGAAGCTCTCGGGCAACACGCTCACGGCAATCAGCGTCGGCGTCGGCCACCTCAACAGTGTCGACACGGTCGCGATTGACGCCGAAGCCGAGTTTGTAGGCTTGTTGTGTCCGTTCCTTGGAAGCTCATCGTACTGCTAGGTGCTCTCGGGGTCGTGGGACAACACGGTGCGCGTGTGGTCGGCGACGGCGGACGAGACGGACACGAGCACGAAGAAGCAAAAGACGGCCAAGGGCACCAAGACGAGCCTTGTGACGGCCGAGGCGACGCTCGTGCTGCCGGGCCACACGGCGAGCGTCGTGGCCGTCGCGTTCCACCCGACCGAGTCGCACGCGGCGTACTCGGCGGCCATGGACCGTTCGATCAAGCTCTGGGATCTCTCGCTCCAAATGTGCAAGCAGACCATGGTACCTATAATGCTTTTGCATGTTTACGGTGTCTCCAACTCAGCAAATGTGATCTAGTCGGGCTCGAGCACTATCTCGGACATGAGCGTCAACAAGGACGGCATGGTCCTTACGGCGCACCCGGACACTGCGATCCGACTCTGGGACCCGCGCGCGGCCAAGGCCGGCACGACGCTGGTGCAGAAGACGTTCCAGTCGCACAAGATGTGGGTGAGCGCGGTCGAATGGGCGTCCGAGACGCAGTTTGTGTCGGCCGGCTACGACGGCACTGTCAAGGTCTGGGACTCGCGCAGCTCGATCCCTCTCTTTACGCTCGCTGCCCACACGGGCAAGGCCCTCGACGTGGCGTGGATCGCGGCCGACAAGCCGGCGTTTGTGAGCGGTACGCCCTCGATGTCTCGTGCCGTTTTAACGCGAGGAATGTGGTGTAGGTGGCGAGGACTGCCAACTCAAGTTCTATGGCACTGCCCCGTAATCGACGCTTGCGATCTATCAACATCATCATCCTACCATTTAAATACACTACATGCTGCACGTGCTTGCTTGATCGACGGAAGAAAGACGTGGTCATTGGGCAGACGACCGATGCCGGCACCTTGGACAGAGCTTTTGGCCCAGCAGGATACTATGTCATGACGTGAAGCCCTCAAGCTCGCGGGTCGTGGCGCGGCGCAGCGGTTGGTAGGTAATGACGGGACTGTGGGTAGATGTCGGCGGCTGTGGTTCGCTTCCAGCTGGACGCTCCTTCGGTGTCGAAGTAAAATCAATGCGCTCCGGTCCGGTGGTGAACACGCGGGGCATTGGCAGCAGTGGCAACGGTACGCTTCCCGCTGGCGTGGTGCCTTGCTCGTGTCGATCTAAGGTTGCATCGGGGATGTCGAGATGCGTGGTCGACGGCCCGAAAACGACATTGGTTTCTGGTGCCACGCGGTTGCACTCGTGCGAGGTGGGCCTTCCGGGGCCCGTCGCATTGGTCGTGTTGTCTGCTACATGGTGCTCGTCTCGGCAGTGGACTTTGGCCTCGCGGTGCATGCTGCCCGTTGCCGCGTTCAAAATCGTTTCAAGATTGCTTTGGGTCGATGCCATTGGTGGATTATGCGCCAATGGCATCGATTTGACATGGCCATTGGCCAAAATCAAAACCCTGCCGGTGTGCGCGGTACTACGAGAACTTGGGCCGCGACGACTCACTTCTTGCAAAGTTATTAAGTTATATGCATGTCAAACGAATTAGGCTACGCGCTTGCGCAGTGGTTTGTACGGAATGACAAGGTCGCCTGGTCGACTGGTGGCATTGGCGGACGCTTCGTGCAAGCTCAGCATGGCCTCGGACGCTTTAGTTGGTGCAGTTGAGCGCTCGCCAAAGGCTGCACTGAGAGCGAGGAGGTCTGGTCCGGTCGTCACGACTCTGGGTCGAGTTGAATTGCTCCACTGGGGGATGGAGGTCGTCGATGAAAAGGCGGGCTCCGAGTGCCGGTACATTTGGCCGGGCTCAGTCATTTCGTGGGCGACCACCGACGATGAGGCCTGGCGGTTGAAATACGGAATCGACGAGTCGTCCCGCTCGAGCATCGGCATGGAGGACACCTGACGCTGCATGACTGGGATGTCGCCGATCGCTGTAGCTTCGTCGTCGTCGGTCAGGGGCACAAAGTCGGTGCTAATGCGCTCATCGTCGTCCGCGTCGGTGTTCCAGCGGTCGCTGTTGCTCGTTCGGCTCGTCGCGCTCGCGTTGGACTTGGAGAACCTTCGAAGCATGGCGCGGTGTCTTGGGAAATGACGTCAAACTCATGTCCCGTGGCAGCGTATGACAGCAGCAACCCACTCGAAAGGAATTCACGCATTTGATTGGTGGTGAATTGGGACAAAATGCATTTGATTGGTCCGTCGGTGCATCTCTCTGCGAGTTCAACAAACCGCCAAAGATTCGGTCCCAAGCCGCGGATTCTTTTGTTTTGTATCAAAATCGAGGAACAACGACGCTCGTCGTTGTCAAGGTCCTGCTTTCTTCTCTTATGACGTTACCGATGAAGTGGAATGGGGGGCGCTGGCTGTAGCTTTTATACTTGTACCGCAAGAAGAAGCTGGTCTGGACGTCGGAGGTTTGTTTGATTCGACGGTGTTTGGCCCCGGCCATTCTTTGGCGTCGTCGCATCATCGCTTGACGAGGTCCAAGAACTGAGATAACCTTGGGTCCATTTCACACTCCCTATGGGTAGCCAGCCACGATCAAGTTCGTATGAATCCCATTCGATTCCTTTCCTTGTACTATGCACGAGTCGCTTTGTACCGACTCGGATGGATGCTGGGCGTGGGAAGCTCGTTAAACGAGAGACCCCGCCGGGTCAATTGAATGACAATTTGGTGGAGGGAATAGGTCGTCGTTGGGACTAAGGTTGGGACGGTACTAGTAGCCCAGGGCTAGTCAGGGGTAACTATTATGTACCCATGGTGCTAGTAGCCCGAGCATTGAAATAGTGCCGACATGAGATTGCGTCGTAAGTTGCTTTCCGTATAAAGTTCGATTTCAAGGTCGATTTCGCCGTTAAGTTTATTTTGCAAGCGGATGCATCGATTGGTGCCCGAGATTGCACTTTCTCGGATCCAAACAAGGAGCAGCATGAGTGCGCCGCCGACGGAGAAGCCCAAGATCAAGAAGCTCACCAAGAGCAAGGTGGACGAGGTGCTCGGTGGCAAGGCAGTCCTGGACCTCACGCACCGCGGCGTCGAGACCATGGACGCGCACGCATGCGATGGTCTCTCGGCCAAGAAGCTCGACCTCTCGCACAACAAACTCACGCGCTTTAGCTTCTCGATGGCGATGACGCTGACGCAGCTCAAGATCACGTCCAACCTTCTCACGGACAGCGGTGTCGCCGACTTGAGTTACTGCAAGGCCCTCGTGACGCTTGACCTCAGCGACAACAAGCTGTCGCGGCTGCCGGGCTCGAGCCTCCGCCACTGCACGCAGCTCAAGGCGCTCGTGCTCACCAAAAACGCGATCACGTCGCTCGATTGGCTGCCGTCCATGCCGCAATTGACGTCGCTCATTGTGAGCCAAAACCGGATCGGCGAAATCAGCGAAAAGGCCCTCGGCAAAGTCAAAAATCTTGTCAAGATTTCCATGTACGCGAGCTCCAGGCTCGTCGATACACTCTCATCGATCCTCTGTAGCTCGCACAACAAGCTCAAGGCGCTGCCGGATATGGCGGCCCTCGCCGACCTCTCGGAACTCCGCATCTCCAACAACCGGCTCACCGCGCTGCCCGCGACTCTCGCCAACAACCGTATGATAGTCCAATGACAAATACAAACACATTGTCTGATGAACCTCCTTAGGCAACCTCAAGATCCTCGATGCATGCCATAATGCGATCGACACGTGGGACGGGCTCGAGAACCTCGGCAGCTTGAAGCAGCTCAAGCAGCTCAACCTCAAGGGCAACCCGCTCTGCGGCGTCGCCGCCGAAGCCGCCACGACCGAGGATGAGGCCGGTACGACGACAATGTCAAGATCAAGAGCCCGATGTATCGTCTCTTTTAGAAAAGAAGGCTGCCGACAAAAAGAACAAGTTGTACAACTTTAAGATGAAGCGAATCTTTGAAGCGCTCATCATCCGCGACGGCCACCGCGTGCTCGAGAAGCGGACCCACGGGTAGGACTAGCGACATATTTTCCATCCGAGTCAAGTATCTAATTGTGTCTCGTAGCTACGTCGCGCCGCCCAAGCCCGACCCGGAGGAGCGCAAGAAGCGCAAGCTCGAGGCCGACGAAAAGGCCAAGTCCGACAAGAAGGCCAAAAAGGCCAAAAAGGCTGAGAAGGCTGAGAAGACGGACGAGACACCTGTCGAGGCGGCTCTCGAGGAGCCGGCGAAGAAGGCCAAGAAAGAAAAGAAGGCCAAGAGGGTCGACGAGGCGGACCAGCCCGCCAAGGCCAAGGTCGCCAAGGAAGACTTGCGTCCGACCGAGGAGAAACCCGTCGACGACAAGTCTATCCGTGGCAAGAAGAAGAAGGAGCGCGTCAAATTCGTACGTCACTCGCGTGCAAATGCGGGTGTTATAGCATTGTGTATTTCGATAGATCAAGGAGAGTGGTGCGCTGGGCGTCGTCCAGATGAAAAAGTCCAAGGCGACCAAGGCCCCCATCGACATGGCGACGCTTGCCGCGTCGACGGACGTGGGGATGGGCGGCGATTCGGCGTGGGATTAAACCACTCGATAACATCTCAATTGTGTATATTTCTACTGCCAACATTGTTCCTCAAATCAAGTCCGAACTAGTACTTGGGGGCAATAACCGTGTTGGTGTCCGCCGTGCCAGTTGTGGGAGAGGCAGGCTAGCTATTTGACTACCAATTTGGAAATGACTTGACCCCGCTTGCTCTGCGCCTGGATCTTGGATCTTGGATCTTGTGTTTGCTTTTGGATCTTGGTCTTCTAGATCGCTCGGACTTGCGCGGAAAACCTCGTCCACTTCTTGGAAACGGCCCCAGTGGGTGGGTGCAGTGATCGCTGCTGACACTGCTGCTGGCGGGTGGTGACGGTGCTAGTATCGGCATTGTTCTTGATTCGTAACACTGTTTAGTGGGATCCAGCTGCCTGAGTGCTGTTGTTCTGGGGTGCGAGATCAAGTAGCCTCTCGGTACCGTAACATGACGATGGCACGTCGAGGCAGCTGCTGTACCAACCCCAGCGCTGCGTGTCGTTGGTGGTGCCGGGAATAGCTCCGGAATACGCCACATAATCTTTCGGGATATATTCTTGCACGGCTCTATAGAAGAATAGCAACACGAATACCAAGAATTACCACCAGGCATCTGCTTGTGGCGCTACTCGTTGCGGTACCTTGAAGCACCGGGTTGCATACAAACGCCAAGCGACGACCGTCGCGGGCTGTACGTTAATAGCCTCTATGCTTGGGTGGCAAGTGATCACAGCACATCCCACTCGATCCTCGAGTGGCGTCAGCCCACGTTAAGTCACATCCTCGTCCGCCCAGATGCCGCCTGCCTCTTCGTTCAGAGAGGTCCTTGGTCCCACCGACCGTCTGCGCAGTGATACGAGCGGCAAGACACGATGACTGGTCGGCATAGCAGTCGAGATCGTGATCACTGCGAAACGAAACCGTCAACGCGTGGGTGGCAGCGACGTGCGACCATTGCAGGAGACATGTCACGCCACGCGACTGGAATCAGTCACGCCGCAGCTGCGAGCATTTACACATCTCGTTCGATGACCGACAAGGAAGGGAAAGCAGCCATGGCCACGCGCCAAGAGCAGTGCCGCGACAGCCAGCGGCGGTACCGCGCCAAAGCGATTGCGGCGGCGCGCGCGCTCGAAGACCACGTCCGACAGCTCACGCTTGAGACGCTGCGCCTCGAAGGCCGGCACCGCGCCCTCGCCAGCAGCATCCATCGGCCGTTAGACCATTTTTCGAGCCTCCTCGTGGCGCGCGAGTACTTTAGCGTCGCTCGGTTTGGCCTCGCCCGCAACGATGCAATGACGCACGACGCTCTCTGTCGACTCGTGCACGAGTCGGTCATGTTCCACGGCCGCATGGGCCACGCCGCGTACTTTGACCAGTGGCGCCAGTACGCCGCGACGTTCGAAGGCTTTGACATGATCTGCGACAGCATGGAATGCCTCAGCGTTGACGACGGCTACGTTGTCCACTGTGTCGGCCGCGTCAGTCTCCGACTCACACGCACGTCGCTCGCACGCGTATTTCCCCATACGCTTCGCGACGAGTACCTTGTGCAGCGCCTCATCGATTGCGAGCTCCAGGTACGATGTCACTGACGTCTCGACTGCGAGCCACTGCGCTGCGTAGGTACCACTGGTGCTGCGCCTCACGATGTGCGACCAAGACCACCGCATTGGTGCGCTGCACGCCACTTTGGGCTTTACGGCGGCGATGGTGTCGCTGCTGCGTGCCAGCGACATGGCGGCTGCCGTCATGGCGTACGCCCGTCTCGAAGACAGCTGCCTCCTTGAATAAGCGCGCGTGTTGTATGTGCTGCAAGTAGACAATGTTGTCGAAAATATCTTATATATATATATGAACGTGTTCCGCGTTATCTTCATTATGACACAAAGACTTCGCATACGTAGCGCTACGCCTGAATGCGTGGGAGTTGGCACCAGCACTTGGTCGTTGGGAGTGAGCTGCGCACGGAGAGATCCATCCCGTGGTGGACACCACAAAATATCTTGTTGGATCATTGCGACCTGTTCGTGTTGACCGCCGACGCCTCTACATGCAGATTGTCGTCCTTGATGCGCCAATGACAAAGAAAGCGGTGACGCGCCCGCCGGACGCCCCGTGGTGTACACGTGCTGCATATTTACAGTTGCGACGATACCGATTTTGCTACGCTGCCACGCGTGAATCGCAGATGGCACTTAGGCTTGTAGGTCGACACGTGTGACCAAACCAAGCGAATCACTATTCCTTTGGGCCAAACTGCCAACAAAGATTGTGATGGTCGGAAAGCCACGGCTCCGACGGCACAGTACAGTAAGTCGTAGCACACGCAACGAAAGCTTGGTAGATATATATTTTTGTACGAAGTGGACCTCTTCAAGAACTACTCACGCGAGGACTGGCGCGAATTTTTTGTCAAATGCACCCGCGATTTCGTGTGGCAACACTTGTTTGTGGAAATGGTATAATGTATGATGAGAAACAGCGGTATACTGTACGACAACATGAAGACACGTGAATAGCAAGTGATCTACGCATCTTGGGGCATGCACTGATGGTAGTACGCATTGCGTTCGATGCAGTCGTAGCCGTCGCCGCACTGCGTCGGGCCCGCGTAAAACTTGCCGCCGCATTGACCGTACGCCGCCGCCGTGCCTTCCTTCTCGCTCTTGGGCCGGCACTGGAAGTAGTGCGGGTTCAGCTCATCGCACTGCGCACCAGCAACGCACGCTGTCGGACCCGAATAGCCCTTCCCACCGCATTGGCCGTACAAGGCGACCTTGTCACTCGACGGACCTGGCGTCGGGTGCATCGTCGGGCTCGGTGCGTGCGTCGGCTTGGGTCCGTGTGTGGGCTTGGGGCCGTGTGTCGGCTTGGGCGAATGTGTGGGCTTGGGCGAATGTGTGGGCTTGGGCGAATGTGTAGGCTTGGGCGAGGGCTGATCCGACGATGGACTTGGCGACGGGCTAGGATATGGCGACGGGTTGTTGGACGGGCTAGGGTTGGGACCTGGACCACTACCGCTATCCAGAGCCACGCAGTTTTCTAGTCGTTTCCATCAGCCCATCGTTCCGCTATATGGCTAGGAGTAGTCACGTACTGTAGACTTGCCACGACGACGAGTGCAGCGCGAGCCAGAAGAACCGAAGTGTCTTGGCGCCCGCGCACTTGGCCGTGTCGATGGGCATCGAGCCATCGGCGATGTTCTTGGCGCAGTTTTCGTTGTCGTACACGCGCGTGTTGTCGCACCAAAGCTCGCACGGACCCTAATCACCGATCAGTTGGCGCTGCTAACCACCACACAAAGCAAGTACTTCGTGCGACGGCGTGAAGCCTTCGTTGTCGCCGTGGCGCCATCGGACGACGCTCGGGAGCGCTTGGGGTTTGGACGGGTCGAGCTTGGTGATGCCGCACTCGCCGCCCGATGGCTGCGACTCGATGAGGTCTTTCAGAGTCTTGAAGCGACTGGCCTTGAAGTGCGTTGTGAACGCGGCCGTGTTGTCGCCGGGGCTCTTGTTGTACGTGTCGCCAGGCAGCAATGATGGGCCGTCGAGGGTGGCACAGAAGCGCGTCGGGTCGCTGTTGGGATCGACAAACTGAACGGGCGGCGCGACCAAGTGGCCGTGAGCCATCGTATCGCGCACGGCGGCGGCCGAGAGCAGTGTGAGCACGACCGACACGACGAGTTGCATGTTGGGTATGCGGGAAAAGACAGAATGAGCTTTTGCCTAATTGTTGTGCTGCGAGATTGTTGCGATCGAGTCGTATGG